ATTATACTAAATTCAAACATATGGTACAAACTCTAGAAAGAAGTAGTAAAAAAAGTTCAATGAAGCAACATAAACACTACCATTACTATCCTTTTTGACATCACAAATAGGAGGAGGAAACTAGAAAAGAAAAAAAAAAAAACATAACAGAAAAAATACAAAAGGAAACAAATAACATCACAGGACACGACACAAGAGAAATAAACTACAAGTTTGACGAGCCCTGATCATCAGAAGGAGGTGGTGGTGGCGGCTAAAAGAAGCTAGAGATAGCAGCAAACTGCTCCCCAAACCAAGCCATGTCCTGGTTGTGCTATTGCTGCTGGTGAATCACATAAGCATCAAATCTAGCAACATCCTCCGCATGCTGCTAATCCTGTGTAGTAATATAAGAGTCGAACCTAGCCTCCCACTGCTCGAAATGCTCCACCAGCTGATGTAGCTGTGAGTGCTAGCAGATCGGAGTAGGTGCATGAATAGTTATAGAAGTAGTTTCCTCCTCAGCTCCCTTAGCTTTCTAATGCTCTAGGTGTAGATGAGTACTATAAAAAATATGGAAGGAGCTATTGGTGTAGAATACAGGCTAAAAGTTAGGTGGGGCAAAATATTGAAGGTTGTATTTGGATTCCAATACATAGGCTATGATGTGTCTTAAGGCAAGGATAGGCTTCCTTTTGCGTCTTGGATCGCTAATACTAGTGAAATGCTCAATGTAACAGAAAAGAAGATCAGCAATGTTGAATTCCTTATGGGCCATGATGTAAAAGGTGGTGATCGAAAGGAGAGGAGTGATATAGACATGATCACCAGCCTTGGGAATAACTGACGTATGAAGGACATGTTGGATTGTCCTAACATCCTTAACTAAGGTGCTAGACGCCCCATTATAATAGGAGATAAGAGTGTTTCTTAGATGGTGATTTACAGGAGCCTAGTCAAAATCAGGATCTTGAGACAAAATGTGAAGCTTGTCTCCAGTAGTAGACAGTTGGAGGAGTTTGTGACTGTCTTGATAAGTGATTTCAATAGGGCATTTATTGACATAGGATTGAAGTGTAGTGTAAGAAGATTTGGTCATATGACTTGCTAAAAATTTAAAGAGCAATTCAGATTTGAAACGGAAGGCGAGGCTAAGGATGATGGTGAGGGAGGTGTACGTAAAAAGATCAAGGACAGGGTAAGTAAGTGTACGTGGATTAACATTCCTGGATAAGGTGATATCGGCTATCTTATAGCAAAGGTAGGCAGCTTGGTCAACCGCCTCAATGAAATGAGGGTCAACAGTGGCCCTCAAAGAACTTCCAGCTGGCATTTTGGATCTCTTTCCATCGACCATGAACAAGAAAATCAGAGAATTAGTGAGAGCAAAGAGAAATAGAAAGATTTGGGGTGAGAAAACTATTTGAAAGCTGTTGTTTATAAAGAAATGGCCTGATCGTCCAAGATGACTGTAGAATCATCTAAAATGATAAGGTGAAATTATTGCATCCAGGACTGTTGGTCAAAAAGGCGGTTATATTATCCAGGATGATTAGACATCATTCGGGATGATTAGACACAAGTGATAATTCCAAGGAGTCATGTCGGATGACCATTGGAAAAGCATATTATCTATAACGATTAGGTGGATAGTCCAGGATGATCGACAATAATGGATCGTACCGCCGAATTTAAAATGTGAAATAGATTTGCCACGTGGATCATTTAGGATAAACAGGTGGATCTTTCAAGATGATCACTAATAATTGAGCAAAATTTTAGAAGATCGTTCAGGATGCAGAGGATCATCCAGGTCGATCATAAATAATTGAAGTAGAATACGATCAGATTGTTTGGAACAATAATGTCGCATCTTGGAAAATCATAAATAAAAAAAAGTCATATAAACCATCAGATGGGAGATGAAGGGTGGTGTGAAGATATCGTCCAGGATGATATGATTAAAAATTAAAGATTTTGTGGATGGATAGACATTTAAGGCCCAAAAGTAAGAAAAACTAGTAAAAACTAAAAATAAAATAACAAAAAAGATGAGAAAACTGAAAAAAAAAAAAGATGAAAACAAAGTTTTTTTTTTATCAAAGCATGAATATGATAAATTTTTTGTGTGATTGAATTAAAAAATTATAAGAATCAATGATTTCATATCGTTAAAATTTGAAAAATAGTAGAACAACAGATCTTGTTAGTCCTAGCTCAGACTTCTTACAGGGCAAACCATCTTTTGAAAATAAAGATCTAATTTAGAAAAATTAATTGGATAAAAAAAAGTGATCCTTTTAAAACTTGGTTCCAGAAAAATATATTATAGAATAATATACCAATGTACTTAGTCACAATCATGAATCTCAAAATCAAGCCTTTAAAAATATCAAGTGACACATGAATTCTTCTAAGATTTAAAGGTTTGAAAGAATATGAAGCTTGCTTTCTTATGGGCTCATTTTATGCCTCTTATCAATTGGTCGGCGCACTTTGCATATCTTTTGATTTTTGATACACTTTGTGTATCTCTCAAATTTTTTTTACTGTCATTGCGCATCTTTTTCAATTTTTCTTCTTTTTGGACTCATTTTTTGCCCTTGTCATTTTTGTAAGCTAGATTCAGTTGTGAGAATATCTTTTATATATTAAATAAGAAAAACTCATTATCAAATATAAGAAAGAGTAAATCACAAAGCAGAATTAAATTCTTATGATAAATGCAAAGACAAGATTACTAAAGCTTGAAAGTGATTATCTTCAGACTTGATAGTTCGGCTAGAGAGAGAACGTATGGTTTTCTAGAGAGAGAAAATTCCTTTCTTCGCGTTCGAATCAAATTTTCCCGTGATTTTTCGCAGCAGGTGGTACGGCCGTCGGATAATCATAGGCGTTCTCTACTGATGTCATGGCTGCTTTACGACCTCCTGTTTCTTTACGAACTTGTGGAAGAGTCATTAGTGGGGTGGTAATCAGAGAAGGGATGAGACCTCCATCTCGTCAACCTGTGGTTGAAGGCAAAGGAAAGACAGCGATTGTGGATGATGGAGCGGCTATGAGGAATGGGGAGCTTTTGATGCCAGGTACACATAATCTTGCTTTTATGAAATTGGGTGATGAATTCTTGAAGGGTTGTAAATTTTCTGAAACTTCTGAGATGAATGAGGCTCGGTGTGGGGATTATGATCTGAAAATTGTGAATGGTCAAGAACGGGCTCTTAATATTGATCTTGTTAAGAATCCTGGAACGGATTTGATAATTGACGGAATGGTGAGGGAGGATATCAATTTACAAGAAAGTATGGATGAGGTTGTTAAAGCCTGGACAAAGCCGAAGCACATCAAGATTGATTTGAATAGGGAGAAAGTTGAATTATCGGAAGATGGGATCATTGTTAAGTTGAATGCGGAGATGGAAGAGAAAAATAAGCATGTTTTGAGACATTCTGTTGTGATTAAAGTATTGGGTAATAATGTGTCATTCCCAGTGTGTAGTATGGAGCTGAGGATTCCATTTAACGTCAATTGGCATGAACTGGATCCTCTGTTCGTTCTGGACGGAGGAGGTCGTGGAGGAAATTCTCAACGGTGGACCGTGGTTTGTTGGTGGCTATATTGTCGAAATGGATCGATGGACATCTGCATTTGATCCTTACTCCTTCAAAGGGATCTCCACTCCCATTTGGATCAGATTCCCTTGTTTACCGTTATACTGCTGGGATGAAGACAACATAGCGAGAATAGCATCTCGATTTGGTACGCCAATGTACATAGATGGGAATACCTTTCGATGGAGGAAGCGAGAATACGCTCGTGTATGTGTTAAAATTGATCTGGAGAAGAAGCTACCGTATGGAGTTTGGACAGAAGGATCAGTTGGCAGATTTTTTCAATGGGTGGAGTATGAGAAGGTTGATTTGTTTTTTTATCACTGTGGTCGTGTATGACATAGCAAGGCTAAATGTCCTGAGGGGGTTGTTCATGTGATTACAGATCAGGCGATTAATAAACCTGTTGTAGATGAAGCTTGGAAGATAATTCCTGAAGCCAATCCCGGTGTGATCAAGTCAGAATACGGCCCGTGGATACATGTACAATTAAAAAACAAACACTTTTTTAAGGAGAATGGTGGTGGAAGACGTATGAATGAACGTCAAAATAACAGGATGGAGAATATGGGATTAACGTTGTGCAGAAAGTAATCCCAGCTGAGAAGAAGAATGTGGATACTGTAGGTACTCCTGGTATGCTGTCTGATAAAATGCCTGATCAGAAGATGGTAGTGGATAGGCAAAAGAAAATTGTAAAAGAAAATATGCAACCGATTGTTGTCTGTAACATATTTGATGATATGCTTAATGATACTGGAGAAGAACCCGTGAATAGCAATGAGGAAGTTGGCCAACTGAAGGACTCGGTTACTCACTGCATTGAGGAGACTGATGGGGCAGGAGATACTGGATTGAATATGAATGATCCAGATTTAATGTATGTTGGTATGGGTGCTCACGGGCAATAAGATAAAACTTGCCAAAGAGTTAAGATCTTTGGGACCTCTTGGAACAGGACACAAGAAGAAGAGAAGAGATGGAAGTAAGAGTTCCATGTGTGGGGAGGAATCCCCAGAAAAAATATAATGTCTACTCTGCTATTTTGGAATTGCAGGGGGGCTAGGAAGAGGGAGGCCGCCTTGTATTTGAAGGAGATGGTTAGAGAATAGGATGTTTGTTTTATTGGTCTCTTGGAGACTAAGATGACTTATATGGGGAGGAGGGAGGATGATTACCTCATTGGGAATGATTGGGAATTTTTTCCATGTTCCGACTGCTGATCTTTCAGGAGGAATGTTGGTGTTGTGGGATAAGAAGAGTGTGTCGTTTGTAGTCAAGGATACATCTTCTCAAGTGATTATGGGGGATCTCTTGGTTCCAAGCTTGGGTTCATGGAAGATTGCCACGGTGTATGGGAGTTGATGTTGCAAAGAAAGGGAGGATCTTTGGAGACAGCTTGAAGAGGGTATGAAGGATGCTAATCCTTATATCATTGGTGGGGATTTCAACTGTATTTTGAACAAGGAGGAGAATAGAGGAGGTAAGAGGTTATTATTTTCAAAAGGACCGAGAGATATGAAACAGTTTATGACAAACTCAGATTTTCATGATGTGAGAAGCATTGGACCAAGGTTCACTTGGTCCAACAACAAAGAAGGAGCCTCTCAGATATGGGAAAGATTGGATAGATGTTTGGTGAACTCGGTTGCTCTCCAAAGAATTCCTTCAGCTCTTACTAGGCATCTAGCAAGAGTGGCATCGGATCATAGTCTAATTGCTTTTAAATTGGATGAGAGGATACGTCCCAAGATGAAGAATATCAAATTTGAGGATACTTGGAGGTCCTATCCAGCGGCTAGAAGGATAGTGTATCATTCTCGGAAGAAGAATGATTTTGGTGATAAAAGTGATATCCTTCAGAGGAATACTAGTAGAACATTGAAAGCATTGTTTTTTTGGAGCAAAAATAAGTGCAAAAATCTGAATACACGCAAGGAAGATTTGAAAAAGAAAATTCTTGATCTCCAAAACAGAGAAGCTGTGGGTGTAGATTGGACTAATGAGGATCTTCTTTTTCTTAGAAGCAAAGTTCACGAGCTCAATGTGACTTTGAATCGGTTAGCTACAAGGTGGAATCAAAGGGAAAAAGCTAGATGGCATGAAGAAGGAGACATTATATAAAAACTGTTCCACAACTTTGCCATGGCTAGAATAAATGGGAATAGAGTGGTTCAAATTAAAGATGTGCATAATAACATTGAGGAGGAAGATGATAAAATTGAGAAGGTTTTTATTCAATTTTTTGAAGCTAAATGGCAATCTAGAACCTGTGAGCTATCAGGTTGGCCGGTGGTAGCGGAAAACTAGAAAATGAGCCAAAGAGATGCTGCTGATTTGAGCTCTGAATTCACAGTGGCTGAACTACATTTCGGTATTTCGGCAAGGAAACAATAGATCTCCAAGTATGGATGGAGTCACTTCATCTTTCTATAAATGTTATTGGGATATTGTGTGGAAAACTTTATGGGAAGCTATTAAGTGCTTCCTAAACTCTGGTCATATGAGCAAGAATTGGAAGGATACTCTAATTGTTTTGATTGCTAAAATAAAAAACCCTTTAACTCCATCTAATTATAGGCCGATTAGTTTATGCCAGACTAATTATAAAATTGCAGCCACTATTCTAGTTAACAGATTGAAGAAATGTATTTCCAAAATGATCACTAAAGAGCAAATGGCTTTTATGCCAGGAAGGTCTATCTCTGAGCATTGCTTGGTGACTCAAGAGATCTTTCACAAATTCAAAATATCCAAGAACAAGAAGGGATTGATGGCTCTGAAGCTAGATATGGAACAGGCTTACGATAGCATGGGATGGCCTGCACTTGATCAAATCCTTAAATGGTATGGATTCCCTTGTATGTTTTCTAACCTTGTCATGGAATGTGTTGTAGATGTGAGATTTTCCATCATTATTAATGGGAAGAATTCTGAGTGGATTGATGCTCAAAGTGGCTTTCGTCATGGATGCCCGCTCTCTCCATATCTCTTCATTATGTGCTTCCAGTTGGTTTCTAATTCTATTAAGCCGAGGGGACAGGATCTTGGTATTAGAGTCTCTCCTAGAGGCCCTAGGATTACACATCTTCACTATGCAGATGATGTGTTAATCTTCTCTCATGTCTCCATTTGTTTAGCCAAAGCTTTGAAGAAGATTGTTGAAGATTTTTGCAAATGGACGGGCCAAAGGATCAATGTCAGTAAATCTCAGATTCTCTTTGGTAAGGTGGTTGGATATCCTATAAAGAAGAAGAATGCTAGGTTGTTTGGTTACAAAATTGTGAAGGAGATGAGCTACCTAGGGATTAAGTTATCCCTTAATAGATTGAAGATGGCTGATTTTCAAGATGTTTTGAGCAATGCCATGCTCAATGCATGGGGTAAGAAGACACTATCTTTGGAAGGTAAGATTACTCTTATTTCTAGCTCGTTGTTGTCTATGTCAAACTTTTTAGTAACTCATTCATTAGTTCCTAAAAAAGTTTTGTATGAGTTGGAGAAACTTTGTAGAAATTTTCTTTGGCATAAACCGGGTGGAGATCATAATATGCATTATGCGGCTTGGGGAGATCTGTGCAAACCGAGATGTATGGGAGGAATGGGACTTCAATCTCCTATTATGAGGGTTAGTTCTTTAAGGTCCAAATTGGCTTGGGATTTTTTTCAAAAACCTGATTCTTTTTGCTACAAAACTATCAAGCACAAATATGGGGATGATATAATGAATGGAACACAGAAGAAGGTAACGTCAAATGCATGGAAAATTATGCTTGATGGGGGGAAGACAGCTGAAGAGAAATAAGATCAATGTATTAAATGATATATGGGTGTTGGACAAGTGCATTAACATATGGCCTACATTGGTGGATTGTGTTGTATTGGAAGGGATGTATGTCAGCTAACTGATATCGAATGAAGGCCAATGGAATTATACGTTACTTCAGGAAGTTTTCCATCCTTATTTTATTCTGCTGATCAATAATATACAGATCGACCATGGGATGGAGGATCGGAGGGAGCTGTTGAGAATGTTCTCGGGTAAGCCTGTTTCTGTTATGTCTTCTGAGTATATATTGAATTGTAAATACAATTTGGATGGTGAGGATTATTATACATGGCTGTATAAGCTCAAACTCAACAAGAAAGTTGAGGTGTTTTGGTGGAGGCTTGGGAAATCTGCTATCCCCACAAATGTGTTTCTTCACTACTGAAGGCTTGCTATGGATTGTTCTTGTGCTAGAGATTGTAATGCTATTGAGAGCTATGAACACATTATGGTACATTGCAAATTCTTGGTTGCAGTCATGAAATAGATGCTTGATTGGGGCATTTCTATTCCAATTTTCCATTCTCTTAACAACTGTTTACAGGAATTAAGAAGGTTGTCTTCTCGGAATCCCGGTATTGTTAAAATTTACTGTACTATTGTATATCTTTCTTGGAAGAATAGAAATGGTGTGAAAATTGGCAAATCTGCACTTCCTTCTTCTGTGATAGCTTCAAATGCTTTGTCTTTGGCCATTAATAAAGATAGTCCGTATTTTTCCAACTAGGGAATCAATCTCCTTAGGGAGTTTCGAGAGTCTTGGTGCCCCCCTCCGAAAGACTGGATGAAGATAAATGTTGATGCGTCTTTGCTTAGATCTAACTGTGCTAGAGTTGGTGGAATTTTTAGAGATCATAAGGGAAGGTTTATTCTTGCATTAGGGGAAAAGAAAGTCCATTGGGATATTACCAAACTTGAACTGGAAGCTGTATTCTCGGTTAGGGAACACATTAGGAGTTGGATGCTTGAGTATAAAGGGATGATTATAGAGAGTGACAACCTCAATGTCATTACTTCCATTTAGGATTCTTTCAAAAGGAATAAGGGGATTGTGGACAGCTGGCCTTCGAAGGAGCTTTTTTTTATCAATGACTTTCATAAAGTGGTCTTCAATCATGTTCATAGAAATTATAATAACGTAGCCAATTGATGTGCTAATATGGCTCTTAATAGTTGTTTCTTTTTTGATAGTTTCTCTTTTAATAACATTCCTTCCTTGCTATTGTCTTCTATCAAGGAGGAATGTGATTCTTTTTCTTCTTATCAAGTGTAATTAGCCTTCTTTTGTTTTCATAATGCAATTGTGATGCAATTCTTCAAAAAAAAAAAAAAAGCTTGAAAGTGATTTAAAAACTTTAAACATTATTTATATAAGATAGTTTACTGTAGCAAGATAAAAAAGATCTCAATCGCAAAATCCATTTGTTCATTTGAGATAGACTATTATTTAGAAAAGAAAAGTATACCACTAAAAGAAGTTAGAAGATTGGAAACAATCAACATTGTTTCTCCTTTTAACTGATTTAGTTATGTCAAACATTGATTACAAATTTCAAACAAAAACAATGCATAAAGTATCATTCCAGTAGTGACCGAAAGAAAAAAAGAAAAAAAAAACTAAAATAATAGAAATGAGAATACAAAAATAATTACACATAAAAGTAAAATAAAAAGTCTGAAATAAAAGAAAGAGTAGAAAAATAACAACAAACCATAGAACATAAAATTCAAAAATCAGTAAACATCATGCATTTATGTCAACCACACTCAATTTGGTCCTTAAGATGATGAATGTGTCAAAGACCAGTGGTTTAGTAAAGATGTTAGCCAGTTGGTTCTTAGTTGCCATATGGTATAACTCAATGTCTCCTTTGGTCACGTGGTCTCTAATAAAGTGGTTCCTTATGTCAATGTGTTTGGTCCTTGAATGTTGGATAGAATTCTTAGAGATATAGATGGCACTAGTGTTATAAAAAAGGATTAAAATTTTTCCTTTAGGTAATCCAAAATCTAGAATTTATTGTTTCAACCAAAGAACTTGGGCCACACAACTTCCTAAGGCAATGTATTCAGCTTCAATAGTGAAAAGTGCAACAACATTTTCTTTTCTACTGGACCAGGAGACTAAAGACTATCCTATGAATTGGCAAGTCCTAGAAGTGTTCTTTCTATCTACACTATATCCTACAAAATTAGAATTAGACTATCCAATAATCTCAAAAGAAGTGTTATTTTTAGGATACTAGATTATAAGTTCTGGGTCCCTAAGAGATATCTAAGTGAAAATTCTTCTAGGCATGTTTAAAGCCCTTTTGCTAGTCTTGAGGCTAACAAGAGGGGGGGGGGGGGGGGGGGGTTGAATTGGTATTTTAAAAATTTAATCCAAAATAGAATAAAATCAACAACCAAAACCCAAGATTCACTACAAGAGAAACAAAGAGTGGAAATTAAATGTGAAAGCAATAATAAGAAAGAACACACTAGATTTTATATTGGTTTTGTCAACTTGACCTACGTCTACTCCCCGAAGGCACACTCCAAGTATTGCACTAAACTCAGTGTCTATCCTTTTGCACCCACAATAAGGCGGAGAAGCCCGTGTAAAAAATCCTTCCCACCAAGCCCGGTGATGTAGAGAACTCAACTCCTTTTGCTTTCTCTAGAAGCAGGCAGAGAACCCAACACCTTTTGCTTTCTCCAAAAGTAGGAAGAGAACCCAACTCTTTTTATTTCATCTAGAAGCAGGCAGAGAACCCTGATTAGCTCCTAAAGTAGACCTCTCTAGAACCCCAAAGGAACTAGAGATGATGATCAGAGAAAATGACGCGGATCCTTTCTTGGAGAAACCTTTATAAAACCCCTCAAAAACTCCCCTTCATAAGATCCTCTCTCTCTCTTGGTCTCCCTCTCCTCTTAGCTCTCTCATGTCAGGATAGCTTCAAAAAGATTTTTTCTTTAGAAAATAAGTGTTCTTTTAAACAAGGGCTCAAAAATAGTCCTAATTAGCAACTAATTGTCAAATATCATCTAAGATAATCTATCGATCATCCCGTTCCATCAGTTCAAATTTAGCTCAATCAGCTAGGATAATTTGGAAAAGTCTAGACGATTAAAAGGTTACTTTCTTCATATCATCCAGGACGATAATATATCATCCTGTATGATTCGTTCAAGTCATCGAATATCATCTAGACTACCGCCCTGGATGGATGTCTGGACGATGGCAAAATCATTAGATCATTTAGGACAATCTCACGATTATTTGGGATGATTAGTACAAAATGACGACTGTCAT